CCGGCGTTTGATCGCGCCGGGGAGAAAAGGCGGCTCGGCCGGGGGATCCGGGGGATCCCGCTGCGCCGTGTCAACGTTGGTGCGGCTTTTAAAAGCCGTGCCTTAAGAGGCTTTTCCCCTGCCATGTGGCAGGGGCCTAAAGATTCTTATTCTTCTTGATAACCCAAATTTTGAGATAATGGAAATTGAAGAAAACTTTATTGAAGAGATTTGAAATGTCTTGAAGGTGAAAGTCTTTGTTAGGACTAAAGGGCAAAGCAACGGGTCCCAAGGTATAGTCAAAAGCCACATTCCATTCTTACGTCAGACACGCAAAGCGGAGACTAATACCTCTGACAGCTATATGGGTACAAACTGGCAATTCAAAGTCTTATCTTCTTCAAGGACGAGAGTCTGTGAGATCTCTCGCCTTGAGGTGCTTGTTTCGGGAAGAGTTACAAAGCTGTGCATCTTCTACGCCTACCTTCCAGCAGACTCACACACATTCACACTCACAGCCCCCCAGAAATGTCATGTTGGCGAGGGCAATAGATAAGGGGCTGGGAAAGAGGAACCAAATGGGCAAAGAACAACAGGTGGTAAATAATGAAACAGATACAGAGACAGCCCAAGTCTGACAGCAAGTGGTAGCTCTACACTCATTCTATAACACCACCAACAAAACCTGCTCACCTCTGTACTTAGGAATATCTCCTAAAGTCGGCAAAACTGCCTCTTATCTTTATCAACTTCACATCCCCAAACTTCATAGAGCCCTTTCAACGTACTACCTTTGGCCTTATTACCTGGCCGTTTCCAGGGTGTGCCCTTCACTGATAGATGCTGCCCCTGTACAAACAAACACATTGAACCAATCTCCCATATTTTGTTTCAGTGCCCCTTCTTATCATGCGCTAATTCTAAAAGTTTTAAACTCTATTTTGACTCAATTAGAAGAATATTCTGATAGTCTAAAGATTCTTATTCTTCTTGATAACCCAAATTTTGAGATAATGGGTTGCTAAATTTCTTTCTGGTGTCATTTCGATTCGCCCTCTGTTTAATTAATTGGTTTTCTTTGCTGGTACATTTACATGGGCTGCGGTCACACGGAGCATTAGCCATGCTACAAAGACGGAAGATAGGTGGATTTTCCGTAGGCGATCACACCGCAACATCTGGGAAGCGTAGAGCTCCCTTGGGGAACCTGAGGCTTCCCGCCGAAGATGCGGCGTAAAAAACTAGTACCTCCGAGGTACTAGTTTCCGGAAACCGCAGGGCAAGGGCTGGTGTCTGATTGCGTTTCCGGTGGTGGCATCCGGCGCCCGCCCATGTCCCTTTGCAAACAGGTTCCCCCCCCCCAAAGTCCCCCAAAGACCCCCCAAGTCTCCACAAGATGCGCACAAGCACCCAATGACGCATGCGCACAAAGAGGAAAGTGAAAGTGCCGTTTCAGCTTTTTTTAAAAAAAGACCCCGTTTGTCACGGCAGCAGCGCCTAGCCATTGCTGGTGTGATTGCACCACACCGCTTCGTTGCTGCGCTGCAAGATCGTCGTGTGATCGCCACCCTCGTTTACCCGCCGGCGCTGAGGTGTGCTGCAGGTGCATCTGATCGCGTAATCACGGATCAAACTGCGCCGGGGCAATTAGCCACGCCTCCCCCCGCGATATCCAGCCCGTTGTGACCTGGGCCATGGTAACCCTTCTCATACCTGCTCTTTTTGCAAGTAATATTTTCTGTTGTTGTTGTTGTTCTGTTGTATATGCGTTTGTATTACAAGCCAATAAAGGTAATTGGATTAGAAGTGGTCGCTCTCAGACCTCCACAAATTCTGTCCACATCCTCATCCTGTACAAGCTGAAGGGTATCCCACACAACTGGCCAAACCAACATCCTGGGACCACCTGATCCCGTTGCTGCTAATGCAGAGCCCAAGTCAGAATGGATGCAAGAGATTTTATCTGCAAAATGCTTAGCAAATGATTGCAGAGGGCTGCAGAGCAGACCACCTCCTCCTGTTGGCCAGAACCCAACAAGCCCCTGAAAGCCCCTGACCACCCTGAAGAGTTCTGCAGGTCTACACTGTGTGGATGCAATCGCGATGGAGAAATATTGGTTCTTTGCTGCCATCACTGCCACAGAGTAGGTTTTAAAGTGAGCTCTGGCCAGTCCCTTGTCATATTTATCCTGATAGATTCAGGTGGGGCAGCCGTGTTGGTCTGAAGCAGCAGGACAAAGTTTGAGTCCAGTTGGGCACCTTTAAGACCAACAGAGTTTTGGAGCGATCGGCGTTGGTGCTGCGAGCGGACGTGTCTCGGGACGCTCCCGAGCCGCCCGCTTCCATTTTGTTCCTTGGGGGTTTCCTGCGTGAGCAGGGACCCCCGGCTCAGTCGCCTGGAGGGAGGGGAGCAGCAGGGGGCTT